TTTTTCTAAATGAAATTAATTTGTGAAGAAAGAAGTAATAGGAAATAAAAAACCCAATCGAAAGATCTAATATTTGTTTTGCGGAATGTGTTTTTGCAAACGAAACGAAGAGTATGTCATTTTTAAAATAAAATCTATATGAAAGAGACAATTGGTTCGTTTTATTTTGAGTCATTGTTAGAGAATTTCTAATCAAGTATCTTCGTCTATATCTATTGTTTGCACTTATAAAATGTGTTTGATAGCAACATGTTATAAAGTAACGAGTCTACTTATTATTCTCGTTTTTTCGATATTTTTGCATCGACGCAACGAGACACTTGACAAACACAATAAATACTTTAGATCTTCATCTTATAATTGTAATCAGATTATTACGCATTCACTTTTATTGGTGCAAGAATCGTGTTTTACAAAAAAGACACACTGGCTCCCGACCGACCCTTCGTGACCCTGACATTCATTCGCGACGAACGCAAAAACCGTATTTCGATCAGTGGACAAAAAGCAAGAGCATGGGGCTGGCATACTAATACGACACGGAATGAAATCCGATCATTTCAACATCTTTTTTAAATAGGTTGATGAAAAATATGGTGATGAACGTTCTCATTTATTCCTGTCGTGGATTTAAGTGCCCGTTTATAATGCTCATATTTCGATAAGATTCGGAATTTATTATCCCAAAATTGTTTTATGTTGTTTACTACTAAACCCCCTGAATCATTAACCCTTTGTTACGTTATTGGTTGTCGAAGTGTTCAGATGCGGAAAGTGCTATAAAAATGAAACCGGTGCACAACGCACATCAAAATTTTTCAAGAAAAAACTTTTGCGCATTAAAGGGTTAACAATAACAAATATTATTTTGTACAGTGTTTGAACAGCGTTTGTACAGCCGAAAGTTAAGAATGTATTAAAATAACAGTATGACCAGAAAAAAATTTTCCACTCATCAACACATTCCCCTATTGTTTATTCATTTTGATCCCTACACTATGCAATCTGCCATTGCATCCGATTTCATAATGTGTTGAATGAAATTTCTGCAACAATTCCTACTATACGACGAGAATCTTTGAACGAGTGGGAGTTTTTCTAGGTATTTAAACTTACCCATTTAATAATTTTTATCACGAATGACATTTTAACTGAACACGCAAAAACACTTATTATTTGAAAACACAAAATCGAAATTTCATTTGAAATCACCTTATTGTTT